AGCATGGTTATATTCGGGATGTTTTCCTAGAAAGGCGAATTCTTCAATCGTAACCGATGAGGCGATCATTTTTAGTTCAATTTACAGAACCTTATCGAATGTTCATCAGATAAAAGAGAAAACGAAGATGGAGAATGCATTCTTGCATGAAACATGAGCGCGATTTCACGTGTTGATGGCGTTTACAACAGACTGGTCCTATTTCAATTTCGGTGAGGATAATTGTCAATTTCTGTGCCAATTGCATGAACGATTCGAGATCATTTTGCTGTCACATTCTGTCAGTGATTTCCCGAAAAGTACGAAGGGAATGAGAAAATTTCTGTGAATTTACCTCCTTGCCAATGCTCAAAATCGAATTTTGAGTGATCCGACCATACATAATCTTTTGACGAACCAAACTGAGCTGCACCCAACCACAACGTTTTCTTACCACTTGCGAGAACAATTTCTGCAAAATAACGATATCAAATCAAAAGGCATCGCTCAGCTTTTCTTCAGTCATCACTTTTTGCTCATTCAAAATACAAGGATGCCCNTTCAACTGAATTTCCAAGCTCACGATAAAGGATCCATAACAAAAAAGGCAGCGGTTGGTAATTCGATGATGATCGTGTATTTGGTGTCCTCCAATTGAAGGATTTTCTTTGCTCAGAACTTTTTTAAACATCCTACCGTATGTTCTGCTCAGGTATTTACCACAATTTCTACACTGAGTACTTGATTGAACCTGAATTTTCTACTTGTTTTTCCACGGAACACTCATTTGCTTTGTACATTACTAGTGGTTCTCTTTTTTTGAAAATTTGTCTAGTGATGAAATTGAGTGAACTCCTTGTTAGGCGACAATTCATTGCGTGTTAATGGAATGAGAACATACGTTGAATGTATTCGTTATCCTTCAGGTCGTGTACGGCAATATTATGACCGCCTCGGATAACGCACATAACCTCCGCAGTTGGCCATCTGGTGTCTTTATTGAAAAAGCGGTAACAATTCCCGGTATGATCCGAATATGTCCAATCTTCCGCACATTGTAGTTTACCGGAAGACACTGAAAATAGGAATTGCTTCTTGACTATGTGATGCACATGAAGCAATCCGTTTGATGAAATTAAACTGTATGTGAAAATATTACCGAGAAAATTCTATCATTTAAACACATCAAGTCATCAAAGCAGCTGGAAACGAAAAACTAATATCAATCATAGTTTTAATGCCTCAATGTTGATCTCAATGACACATTCGTTTGGTCTGTAAAGGAAGCTCACCTTGCAGTGAAATGCTAAAGGCGACGATCTGCAGTAATACGCTCAAGTAAGTAGTGAACATATTGCGAAATCTTCTCGCTGTTGGACACTTGAAACGGGTGAACAGTGACGACTGCGGATCGGCAAATTGGTGCAGGTGTATGAGCAGAAGAGATACAAGTGAATCTCACAAACGTTGTTTGATGTGAATGCTGATGGTGAGCTTGTGTCAAGTAGAAGTTTATATAGACGACTAGAAGTACCAATAATGGGTGGTTTCTGCGGAAATGAACGAAAGAAACAAAAAACAATGGAAACTGCTCAGGTATGGTGGGTAAAAACAGTGAGAAGTACAGGTAAAGACGATGTCAAGAACACCGTTATTGATGGTTAATGGGGCGTGTTATGACTTCTGTGTTGTTCTTGATTCGTCACCATCACAGCGTCATCACCATCCATTGTTACGATCAACGGAAGACGCAAAAAAAAGCGAGAGAGAAAGAAATGATCAATTATGAGAATCGGAAACGAGCGATTAATATCCAATGCGAGATGAATGAACGCTCAATAAGAAGGTGAGCTGACAATCGAAATAATTTGATAAGTGATAATAAATAACTTAATTTTGCAAAATCCAATTAATCAGTCACTGTTTTCATTTCGTTATGGTGATTGTTTTGACGAGAACGGAGTTATGTTCGCATCAATAAATTATAACATCGCCACAAAATTAGACGATTATTTGAAAACACAGAATCATTCGCATTCTTTATCGTTGTTTTCGTTCTAATATGCGCTGTAAAACTGCATGTAATCATTGAGCAATTGAACATCATTGAATAATATTATCACTGTTTGATATTTATTTGTTTTCAGTGAGAATTCCGTCTATGCGCCATTAAGCCAACAACCATCTTTATCATCAGATGTGGATATGAACAGGTGATGATATTATGATGAAAGACAGTTTAGCGACTATCTTTTTCTAAACTGAACTTTTCAACATTCATACAAGGTATTTTTGCTGTATTGTCAAACATTTCACACTTTTTCATGCTGTTTCGTCATCGTTTCGCATTAATTTCGAAACGTCTTCGACGTCAACGCGGAAATCTTCAAAGCGAAAAATGTCTCGAAATGCGTCGTAAAAGCAAATAAACGTTTTCGTTCAAATGTGTTTAATCCATGATCACTCAGTTTTTGCCACGTTCTGTAAATATTTCGATCTCTGTTCTCCGTCGACGTCATTCCACTCACATTACGGATTTAACTTTTTATTTGCATCGTAATTGCTACGATTGGAGTTATTGTTGCGTCATTTTACGATTCGTTTAATTAGCGTTTTGAAAGTGTTTTTGCTATGCGAGAGTTGTTATTGGTGTTGAAAAGAACTTTTTCTCGTATTATTGTTTCAATGGAAATGACGTGAACTTATTGCATTTGTCATAACTTTCATTTACGATGATTATTCATTCAAAAATCTCTTAATTGTATTCTTCCGTTACGAACAAACACAAAATCAACGTTTTCCATGAAATCTTGAATGGAAATGTGAAAACATGATGACGACTCATGCAGTTTTCCAGTCATTCTGAGAAATAACAACTCTTCAGTAGACCACCTGTTGTTCTCGAAAAACTTAACCCAAAAAAACATGCACTTTTGCTCGAAACAGCGATCAGTTGCAATTGTTTGCTTGTTTTGAAAATGTTTCCGTTCATCAAACTAGTGACATGCAACACCCAAAGCAGTCGCACTAATTAATCAGTTTGCTGTACAAAATCACTAATCAACATGTATGTTTATGTCTTTTTGTGTTACGGATCTTAATGGAGTACGTGAAAATTGGCAGAAAAACAACTTGTGAACTTGAATTCCAAGAGCACTGG